ATGAAAGCTCTTGATAAGTATAACATCGGGATGAGCTTATATCTTTAAAAATGTCAATAGTTAAGAAAGTACAGTGCAATTTAACAAAATTAAGAAATTACCTTTTATCTTGTAAAATATTGACATTTTTAAAGATAAAAGCTCACCCCGATATTACACTCATCGAGACCTTTCATTTGAGTACCCACATGCATTTTGATATATTTTTCATATATTCATATATATAATATATATAAATATATGAAAAATTGATGTGGGTACTCAAATGAAAGGTCTCGATGAGTGTAACATCGGGATGAGCTTATATCGTGACTGCAAGGCTGCTAGTTATTATTATTATTATTATTGTTGTTATGATTATTATTTAGTGTTATTATTTACTCAAAATTTTTGAATAATAATAATAATAATAATAATAATAAATTTAAAAAAAAAGTTGTTAAAATGATGAATAAAAAAAATAAAGTAATATTATTGTTATTATTTTTTTTTCAGCTGACAATTTTCGGCCTTATTTAACAAGTTTTCAAGGAAACAGTTTTACAGACTACATAAATGCTGTTTTTGTTGACGTAAGTTAATTTTTTAAACTTTAATAAAAAATCAATCCGTTTTTTTTTTTTTTTAAAACCTCTGAAATAAATTTCGAACTTTTTAATTATTTTTTAATACTAATACCAAATCTCATCGACTGAAAAAAAAATCTTTCTTTAATCCATAAAGCCAAGATCAATTAATACAAGAAAAAAATTTATAAAATTTTTAAAGTCCCCTTGGATATAAATGATAAATGAAATTAATCATCCCCAGTACTAAAATTTACTTTAAAAACTTTCTCAGCAAATAAAACTGACTAACGTCTTTTTTTTTTTTTAAACTTATGAGCAACTTTTTTTCAGCTTTTAGTTTTATTGAAAGATTCGCTCCAGAGTAAGTTCGACAAAAAATTGATAAAATTAAAGTTTTACCAAAAAATAATATATAAATTTAAGAAACGCCACTCTATTACTTTTATTGAGAAAATAAAAAAACGTCTAAAGTTATTTATGTTGGTCATAAATTTCTAACATGAAAAAATAACATTTTATTTTAGATATATATTTTATATATTTTATATATGGCACGATATGATCTGATAAATAAATTTTTTTATGAATTTGAATATTTTATAATTTTTATGTGACAGTAATGGCCATTAAGTTTTCGATCGATCACTTTTAAATACACTGTCCGGTATTACATACACTCAAAGCCCCACGGAAAATCGATATATATGTACTACAAAAGATAGCCATTATCATATCATTGCTTTATATCATCTCCATTATATTTTATTCTTATATAAATATATATTTTTTTAGTGCTGATAATATTTTTTATTACAATCTCAATAATAAAAATGAAATGAAAATAAAAGCGACTTTAAAATTTATAAAATGTCGCATTCTTTATAGTCATAAAAATATTCATCATGTTTGTTATTATTAAAAAAAAAAAAAACTTTTTTGCTGTATCGCTATAAATTTATTCTTTTAACATTATCATGGTCCATTGTCACGGCACTTTATCCTTCCGGGATATTTATCTGATGATGAAAACACAGAAAAGCCCGAAGATTAAAAGCGATTTCAAATAAAACTCATACAATGTTATTGCAATTGCTATTTATATTGGTATTATTGAAAATTAATTATGCAGTTGACAAAAGTAATTTCGATTAATTAACAATTTCGCAATCCAATGAATAATAATAATATAAATCCATAAACTGATATGTTAAAATGAGTGAGTGTTTTAAATCTAAAGCAATCCGATTAAAATGAAATTTATAAGAGCGAAAAGTTTCAAGATTTTATTTTTTATTTTTTATAAATTTTCAGTGTCACATATTTGACTTTTCAAGTAGTTTTTCACTGACTGTATTGAAGTGCGTTGTACTTCGACAAGTTTAAATTGGTATTGAGAACTTATTATAAATTAATCTTAAGACCTCCGAGTTTGAACAAACCTCAATAGCAAAATTATTAGTCGAAGTAAGTTCTTTTGAGTTGTACTTGAGATCTACTTTGTGAAATTAGGTCTTAGATTATTAAGGACTTGTATAATTATAATTACACTACTGTATTGATTGTAATTAATCTTTTCTTATTTTTTTTCTAATCCAAATTCATAAGAATGATACTTAAAAATTTTTTTTAACAATTATATAATTTTTTTAAGTTTATCAAAAATAGAATAATTAAAAAAAGAAAATTTTTTTTTAATTAATTGACATTTAAAAATTTATTAATAATTTTTGGTCAAAATAAAATTTTTTTTAGCATTAAAATAATTTTTTATTTTAATAATTGAAAGTAAAAATTTAAAAGTCAATTTTTTAATTAAAAAAATTTTTTTTTTAATGATTAATTTTTAAATAGCAAAATTAGCCGAAGTAAGTTCTCTTGAGTTGTACTTGAGATCTACTTTCTGAAATTAGGTCTTAGATTATTAAGGACTTGTATTATTACAATTAAACTACTTTATTGATTGTAATGAATCTTTTTTATTTTTTTTCTAATCTGACTTATTTAATTGTTTAATTTCACGGGTCATAATTTTTTAATTTATAAGAATGATACTTGAAAATTTTTTTTTCACAATCATATAATTTTTTAAAGTTTATAAAAAATAAAATAATTAAAAAAATTTTAATTTTTTTAATTAATTGACACTTAAAAATTTATTAATAATTTTTGGCCAAGATAAAATTTTTGTTAGCATTAAAATAATCTTAAAATTAATTTTTTATTTTAATAATTGAGATAAAAAATTTCAAGTCAATTTTTTAATTAAAAAAAATTTTTTTTAAATGATTAATATTTAAATATATATAAATTTTTTAATTTATATAATTCTTGCTCTGCATAAAATTTTTTAAACAAAAATATTGATTTTTTTAATTTTCATAATTTTAAAAAAATTATTAAAAAATTTTTATTTTTAAACTTTTTATAGAAAAAAAACAGATAACAATTAAATTACTATAATTAATTAACGAAAAAAAGCAAAATTAGAAAATCTTAAGCTAAATAAAAAAAAAAATAAATATAAACAATTTATAACTTTGTGCATAAATTTCTAGGGTTACACAAAACCACGGGAATACATAGTAACAGAATGGCCATTAAAGCACACTTGCGGTGAATTTTGGTCCTTAGTATACGATTACGAGTGTTCAGCAGTAGTAATCCTGTGTGTGCCGCCCACAACTTCAACAAACTTTCCTAGCTTCTGGCCTGAAGGAAAGCACTCCAAGAAGTACGGACCTGTCTTCACAATAGATCACATCAGCCATAATCATTACACCAACATTAAAACTTGGGTGAGTATATAACATAATAATTATATTCGTCGGCTCTTCATTCTCCTGAATGATGGATCTATATTTAACAAAACTTGCTGTAATACATAAACATACAATATATAGTACATAATATATAATGAGGAATACATAGAGCAAGTACGTGTAACTGACGTGATATCCAAAGCTCTGGAGCATGAAAGGATGCCTAGCTACTGGGAATATATTAGGGATAATGTTTAGTTTTAGTTTTTGGTTTAGGATGATGATAAGCTAGAATAACATTAATTATCCATATTCTAACAGCTTGCAATGACTATTATGTGATTGCTGAGAATTACAAATTATAAATAAATTTTGGATAAATTTTTTAATGTAAACACAAATTTTCTTTATTCTTTTAATTAAAAAAATTGACCTGATTAACTATTACTCTATTAAAATTTATATCCCTAGATATTCCGGATAAACAAAAAAATAGTCTCACTGACGGAGTTGATGGCCGGAGTAAAAGCACCTCCAAAAACGGTCCAGCTGTTCCAGTTGACATGTTGGCCGATGGGTCAAGCAGTGCCTACGTCCACCAACAGCCTGGTCGAGCTGATGAACATGGTTGAAAGGTGGAGACAAAAGGGAGATTACGGCCCAGTGTGTGTCGTTTCACCTGACGGAAGAAGTCGCTGCGGCGTTTATTGCGCTGCAAATGCTTGCATTGAGCAAGTTATTCAGCACGGTGAAGTTGATATCTTTCAAGCTGTTAAGACTGTACGACGACATCGCCCTCAGCTTGTTGGGAACATGGTAATTTTTTATATTTTATAATTAATCCCTTATACAGTACTTGGCTTATTCTTCATCTCCTCAAGACAATACATTTGTACTTTTTTAATTAATTTATTCCGGAGACATTAGTTTTAATCGCTTTATATTATCTTTAAAAGTTTAATTATCGCTTTGTCTTCTCGCGACAGATTATTTTATTTTATTATCAATACTTAAAAGCTTTTAATTAATCTATGAGAAATTTATAATTTTTATAACAAAATTTAAAAAAAAATTGTTCATAATATATTTTCTTGTCTGAAGAATTGACGTACGGAAAAACAAAGTCATTCATAAAAAGAAAGACACCTGACTATTTTTTAATTTTATTTATAAAATAAATTAGTATAAAGAAAACATTTTTTATAAATTGCACTCATAGTTTTTTTTTTTCATTTTGATTGATGGAATTTTATAAAAAGTTTTAGATATAATTATTAAATTGTTAAAAAAAAAAATCCTAAAAATGATCAGATGTCTGTTAGATGTAATAGCATTGTAATTTCCACATATAATTATTTTCGGTGTGAATGGATGGAATTTTAACTTAATTTAAGTAAAACTTTTAGTTAAATTACCTAATATATTACAAAAAGATAAATATTTTGCAATTTAGGCAGATATTAATATAATTTTATCCAAAAATAAATAAATTAAAATACTTCAACTCAGAAAATTCTTGATCCAATAAATACTTTTTTCCTTGACACTTTTTTGTCAAAAAAAAAAAACTTTATAATTATTTACAAGTAGGGTCAACCCCATTTTGGGCCATAATTAGGTGAAAAATTAACATTTTCAAATTTTTTTTTTAATTCTACTTGTTTTTACGACGGATTTATCATATTTTTATCATAAATCATTTTTGACGACATTTTTATATCGTGAAAGAAAAAAATAAAGATTTTGATAGCTTTTTTACCTTTAAAAGTTGGAAAAAATTTTGGCTGTCATGTTTTTGGATAACATTTCTATTTTATCTTTTTTTGATGTATATTTTTTAAAAAATTTATACATTTTTTTGAAAATTTGTTAAAATTGTGATAATCAACCTTTTTTTTTTTTAATTTATTTTTTTATATTTCTTTAAAAAAAAAAAATATCAATAAAATCAAATAGAAATTTCATTTAAAAAAATGAAAATAAAACTAGTTGACCTCACTTGTAAAAATTAACTAAAAACTTTTCTAAATTTCCAATTACAACCCCTTTTGAACCTCACCACAGCCGTTAACAAAAAACTCTAAAATTTCAGACGGAATACAAGTACTGCTACGACTTGGTCCTTCACTACGTGCTGCACTACCTGAATAAAGACATGAATGAAAAAAAGTGAGAAAGCGAGTTGAGGGACGAGCTGTGGTTCATTGAGTTCGGACGCGGAGTAGCCTTACCATTGACCCCCGAAGAAGCGCCAACAGACGGCGAGCCGGTGGTACCTTGCGCACAGGGACGTATCGTAATCGAGACAACCCGCCCGGCGCCCCCGCACTTCGCGACTTGTTCAACTTACCGACACGCGATAGCGCTGTCATCAATCTCCCCACCAAGTATCTCCCCCATGGGATTCCCGGGCTCAACAGACCTTTCAGGTCCAGCATACCTGAGCCGGGGGGCCGTTTCAAAAGCGCTGTACCTCCGCCAGCACTCAGTAAACCAGCCGCAGAGTCCAGCGATCCGCCCCGAGGACCTAAGTGTGACGCCCTGGTTCACGACCACCGCCAACACAACAACCACAACCATCGACGACTCGATCACCGACTCGACCCAATGCCTAGATCGTGCCCTCGAAGCCAGCTCGTACCCCTCATCTTCATCTTTCTCCCGCAACAACTTTTCTTCCCTGCCTCCGGGGGCCAGACCCGAGCTCGTCTCCACCAGAGGCAGCAGCATCGACAGCGACAATCCTCCAATCAGGCCCCCGGCCCCCCGAAAAGCCTACATGGACCTCAGCGACGCCATCGCTCTTCTAGACGAAACTTGTCCCAATCCCGACGCGAGTCCTTCATTGACCCCGCGAACTCCGCGAACGCCGCTCAATGCAAACTCCAGGAACAAGCGCGCCCGTTCCAAGAGCAGTGACAATTCTTCTAATTACAGCAGCGAAAGGCTCAGCGACCGTTCCTCAACCACTGACGGGTACAAGGAAAAGCGCCGTCCTTTTCTCCAGAAAATTGGAATTTCCAAAACAGAGGACCGGCCTTTCCTCTCAAAAATTGCCCCTAAAATTATCGGAAAGCCTTATTTAGAAAAAATCGGACCTAGCAAAGCTCTAGAGCGGCCTTTTCTCGACAAAATCGGCTCCTCAAAAACTTTGGATAAATTCAATTTCGAAAGTTTGCGCGAATTGCCACGTGCCATGATTCGCAGAACCCAAACTATTGTTGAGCCGTCTATTGAACGGACACGTGAGGAGTCTTACAAAGACGTAATATTGGTGGTAGAAGAGGAGGAGCTCGTAGAGGAGCAAGTTAACCACTCACACTCTATTGATCGCAACCGCAAAGGTCTTTTGCTAAAAATGTACTCGTTTGAAACTGAAGATCTTGATGAGCATGGATCTATTGACATTATCCAAGAAACCGGGCCAAGTTCTTTGCCTCCGCTTGATAATGACACCTGTTGCCAGCCTACTGTCCAGAATTCTCAGGAAATTCAGAAAAATTCGGGAACTGCCGCGGAATTGATTAAATGCCGCGTTACGACTAGCGAAGAAATTGTTTCTAGTGTCGGATATTTAGGCTCGCCTAGAACAGCTTCCAGTTGGAGCAATTCGCCGCTTAGTTCTGGAAGAAAAATTGAAAGACCTTCGCCTTGTTTGTCCAGGCTGTTGGACAGGAATTACAGCTCCCGCGAGATGTCTATCAGCGACGAAGAAGCCGCTTTGATTGTTCCAAACTCTCCCACGAAGCGTAGAATTTCTAAAGTCTCGCCGGAACCGCAATTGCCTGTAAGAGTGGTGCCCTCTAAGGGAAAAAACTCGTCTCTGCCTCGAGATCTAGACGCCTCGCCTACTAAAACACGTCGGCAGGCTTCTGAAGATATTCTACCGGAATCTAATGGAAACAATCAAGAGTTTGGAAGCTTTGATGATAAAACTCGGAGCGCTGAATTGATTGCTTCGAAAAGTCGCAGGCAAACTTTCAATGAGACTATTGAGAAATTTGGAGGAAAAAGCTCTGATTACAGAACCAAAAGGCAGATTTCTGAAGACATTTTGGACAAAACGGATAAGAAAGATTGCTACGGACAGCTGATCAATGAACGCCGAGGGATTTCTTCGGATAATTTAATCTACTCGCGAGAAACAGTCGTCGGCTCCGCGCCGTCTGCCTCCTCTTTGGGCTACCAAAGTGGAAGCGACTCCCCATTCGCTAACAGCCATCCGTCTTCTAATAACAGTCAAGATATGCTAAGAGGAACCTTCAAAGTCTTGCATGACAAGTTTGAGCTTCAAGATGTGCCTGCTGAAAGTTACGCTGCCTTTAAACGACGCACGCGAATGACTACAACAAGTTCTGCGGTAATTTCTAATGATTTTCCGATCGTTACGGAAAGGTACAAGTTTGTAGCAAAGGAAACTACTATTGGCCCTGTTGTCCAGGTGGGAAAAGTATACGACATTACAAGCAACAAAGTGTCCAAAGTTAAGGAAGTTAGCGGCAACAATGATGATGATAAGGACAACAAAGGGTCCTTTTCAAGCTCCAATACTGTTAAATCGGTGCTGAAGAAACAAGACAGGATTGACAGCACTAATGATAGGGAAGCAGATGTTGCCGGTTCGCTGATTCGCAGACCAGTCAGGAGGATTTTCCACGAACCTTCGCAAGAAACTATGGATCTGCTGACTGAGTTGAAGAGGATCAAGAGTCTGCTGAAGACTCCTTCGGAAGAAGGGAAGGATTGGGAGCTGGATTGTCTGAAACCTGCAAGACTGCCCAAGAAAATTTCGCTGTCTGATAAGGAGTTTTGTTTGTCTGTTGAGAGGGAGAACAGCATTCGCAGATCTTTTTTGAGGATTGGTAAAGGGAAGAAAGAGAAGAAGGATGATGATGATGATGATGATAAAAATAAAGAGTCTTGTTTTGGAAAGCCAGAACTAGAAAGTGGACCGGCTTTGTTTGAAAAACGATGCTTGTCGCTGGATTACGCTGATGATGTTAAGCCAATTAAGCCGGAGGCTCGTGCTATATCCCTAGCCTCGGAAAGGACTGATGAGAAGGACGAGGGAAATTATATTGATCCCGGTAATTTGATTTGCGAATGCGACTGCGACTTTTCGGATGTCTTTGAGGAAAATTCAAAGAAGAAAAATCAGGAGAAGAAATTGGAGAATTGTCTGGATGTGGACATTGCTATTCCGGTGGATCAAAGCGGATCTGTTAGTCCTAAGAGGAGGGAGAAGATCCAAGGAAGAACCAGCGATTTGTACGAGATTATCTCCCCGAGATCTACGCCCTTTAGGGTGAAGAAGAGGCTAGGCAGGATCTCGGTGGAGGACGGCGTTAAGCCTGAGAGTTTTACTATTGATAAGGTCGACTGTAGGTCGGTAGTCACGCAAAAAAAGACCAAGTGCTTCCCCTTGTAACGGCTTGCCTGCCTGCGGCCAACGCCTTTTTATTTTTTTTTTTTTTTTACAAGCGGGCCCTGGACCAGTTTTGTATTTTCTTACTATGTTAAGGAAATAATTTTTTTTCGGTCGTTTTCACGAGGGTTTCTTCGGTTTTTTTTAACTTTCATGTTTGTTTTGTAATTTTTTTATAGGTTAGGAAAGATTTTTAGAGGTTATCATTGTTCGGGTTTGAGAGAGATTGACTATATTTAGTTTTTAATAATTTATTGTAAAATTTAAGAATTTATTTGTTGAAGTTTAAATTGTAATTGTTATTTTTGTCAAAGTTTTCAGGGTTGTTTTTAAGAAGTATAGATTTTTATTGTTTCATTTATAACCTAGCTTTTTGAAACTTAAACAATGAACTTTTATATTTTTATGAATTTTTTGGTACATTAATAAAAAATCTCGGGAGTCTTTTTGAATAATCAGTAGCTTTGAAGTTTATTCAAGTGATTTATTACAGTGAAGTTAAACGTCTGAATTAATTATAGGAGATTGTAAAATATTAACTTTACACTGAACTTTGGAGGTTATGCTGCGCATAAGTCATATGAAGTATACAACTTTGACAAGTTTAATTACAATAATTTATTCTAATGAGTTATTATTGGAGTTTTATATTAAATTTATGGAATTTTATTGCAAATTTAATCTTAAATTATATTATATACCAAAGAAACTTTTTTTTGAAGAAAATAATCAACCTAGAAATTTTAAAAATGTGGAAATTTACAGGAAAAATAAGAAAAAAAATTTTCAGCCAAAAAAGCGTATTTAGAAAAAAAGTTTAATTTTATTTTCTTACTTTATACTTTAAAAATTTAACTTCTGTTAACAAAAATTGAAAATTTTCAATTTACATACGAAAAGTTCAAAATATTCTATTTTTTAAGAAAAAATTTAAAAAACAAATTAAGAAATTTTTTTACGCTCTTTTGACTTCAAAAAAAAGAAATTTTTTTTCTCATTTTTTCCACAAATTTATACTTTATACACAAAAAAAATTTTTTATAGCTCTTTTTTGCATTAGTAACTTACATTAGTAAATTACATAAAAAAAAGTAAATCACTTAATCATAAAATTCACTGAGGAACAAATTTCTACGTTTTATATTACATTAAAAATAAATATGAGCATCGCTTCATTAAATCACGAAAG